GGCCATCTCCCAGGTTTCTCTACCTGGCCAGGTATCCTTTTGGTCACGGCCCCTGACATCTGCTGTGGGGCACCATCAACCCCCATGGCGGGCTCAGGGCTTCCCCTCCTGAGAGGGTTGGGATGATGCAGCCCAGCAGAGAACCCACGGGAGGCTCCCACTGCTTTCCACCGCGGAGCCCCACACTGGCTTGGCTCCTCACTCTCCACGGACATCCGGCCTGGGTCCCGCGGACGCCTCTTCTTTTCCAGGGAGTGGAGTTCCTTGCTGTTTCCACAGCCAGAGGATCCTGCTGGGCACAGATGCTGCACAACGCTCCTTGCTGTGGCGGAGAACCACCGCTGTGTCCTCATGCCTCCCTAGAAACATGGGCGCGGCCGCACCTGGAGGCCCAGCGGGAAGGGGCCCAGCTGGGCACAGCCCCGACAAGCTGCTCGGGGGCCTGAGTGGGACTCAGACTCTGTGGACCTCCGGCCACCAACTCCCAGAGCCACCCCGGGCTGGACCTCAGGGGTGGCTGTTTCGGTGCTGTGATGGTCTAAATCAGGAGGGTCCAGTCTTTTCGCTTCCCCGGGCCACATGCGAAGAAAAATTGTCTTGGGCCACACATAAAATACACTAACGATAGCTGATGAGCCAGAACAAACAAACAAACAAAATCACAAAAAAACTCATAGTGTTTTAAGAAAGTGTATGAACTTGTGTTGGGTCGAATTCAAAGCCATCCTGGGCCACGTGGGGCCCCCGGCCTTGGGTTGGACAAGCTTGGTCTAAATGTGTGTAACCCCCCCAAAATATGCATGCTGACCTATCCCCCAGTGCAATCGTATTCAGAGGTGAGGACTTTAGGAGGTGATTAGGTCGTGAGAGTGGAGGCCCGGGAACGGGACTGGTGCCCTTAGAAAAGAGGCCGCCCCTTCCACAGAGGGAGCACCCAGCGAGAAGTCACCATCTATGGAAAGTGGCCCTCACCAGACACAATCTTCCAGCACCTTCATCTTGGACTTTGCAGCTTCCAAACTGTAAGAAATAAATTTCTGTTGTTTCTACACCACCAGGTGTGTGGTAATTTTGTTATACCAGGACAAACAGTCAAGACAGGCAGAGCCTGGAAGGGGTGGGGTGAGCTCAGGGGTGCCCAGGGCAGAGCCTGGGATCAGGGTGAGCTCAGGGGCACCCAGGGCAGAGCCTGGGGGCGCGAGAGGACAGGCCTGTTTCCCCTGCAGCGAGCATTCTCTGTCCCCCACAACATTGCACAACAGGCTGGGCACAGGCAACCCTGGCTGCTCCCCAGCTCCCTGCCTGGCAAGGCCCATCACCTTGTGCCCAGGGTCAGGCCACTCCGGGCAGAGGTTGCGCTGCTCTCAGCACTGTCTTGGGGCCAACTCCTGGAGCCAGGTATCTCCTGGACCGAGGCTGGAACGTGGGGCCACTCAGGCGTCTCTGACAGGTAGGGTCCAGGCACAGGTGGCCCATGGTTGATCAACCACGTGGGAGTTAAATGTCTCCCTAATAAGCCCTCCCACCCCTCCTTTCCAGCAGCTGCTAAATGCCCTCAGGCCATCTCATCTGCACAAAGTAAAGTCTCCTGACCCTTGTCTGTGCAACCAAACTTCCTGAAGGCAGCTTCTGTCTCGTGTCGGCTCAGAACGCCACAGCGGGTTCCACTGCTGTGATGCTAAGGGTCATCTGACCTGTCCCCACCTGCCCCTCCTGCCTCACCTGCCCCACCCACACTTGCATCCCCCATTCACCTGGTCCTGAAGCTGGGAACCCACCTCCCTACACTCAGCCCAACAAAGAGCAGCCATCCCCAAGCCCCAAGTGACTATGGCCCGCCCCGCCCACATCTGGTTCTGCAGAGAGCTGCATGCCTCCAGGTCAGGGCCACCTGCTCCAAGGTCAGGGGTACCCACTCCAAGGTCAGGGGCCACATGCCTCCAGGTCAGGGCCACCCTATCCAAGGTTGGGGGGCCACATGCCTCAAGGCCAGGGCCACATGCTGCAAGTCAGGACTGCCTGCCCCAAGGTCAAGGCCACCTGTTTTAAGTTGGGACCAGACCTGATTTGCCAACACTGTACCCAGTCAGGGCCTGGACACAGCAGGTTTTAATATCTGTCCAAGGAATGAAGGCAGGAGTAAAGGAAACCTTCTCCGTTCTTTCAGCAGCCTTGCATGTGCACTGGGCAGGGCGAGGGACACAGGGTATGCTTTTCTGAGCAGCAAGGCCTGGAGTCCCCAACCAACAACCTCAGGGTCGGCCTCAGGACATGGGAGGACTTGAGGGAGGAGGACCCTGGGAAAACCTTCTAGAGTCCTCTCTGCCAGAGAGGAGTGTGCCTTGCCCAAGATCACTCATCCTGGAGGGACAGCCACAGACACGGCCCAGGACAACTCTGGCAGCCTCTCACCTCCTGGACTCCCTGAGTCTCCAGCTTTGCCGTGATCCCAGGGTCCCAGTCCAAGGCCAGCCTCCTCTCAGCCAGGCAGCCCACCCCAGTCCCGCCAGGACCAGCTGTGTCTGCGGGAGGAGGGTGGCCCTGCCGGGGGCTGGGGGGGACTCTGGGGAAGGGGCAGATGTATGACAAGAGGGGCATTGTCCACACTCCTGACCAGACTTCCAGGAGCTCCAGGGGAGGGAGCAGCAAGGCAGGGCTCTGAGCTGCAGGATCCAAAAATAGCCTGGGGTGCGGCCAGTGGCCAGGGATGGGCAGCTGACTTCACGCCACAGGCATCCCTGGAAGGCCCAGCTGTCTGTGGCCGCACCTGCTGGGCCTCTACCCATAATGCTGCCCTCAGCGGGATGAGCCTGTAACAGGCCCCCGGGCCACCCACATGCAGAAAGCCCAGCTCCTCCTGAGGCCCTAGATGGGCCCTTGGGTGCCTGGAGGCTGCTGTATTTCTCTCCCTGGCTTGTCCATGGACCCTGGGACAGCCACACCCCTCACCAGGCCTGGGCCACTTTGCAAGCTGTGGGGGGTGCTGTCTCCCCATTGGGAGTCCCCAGAGATTTGCCCCACGGGTTGGGGAACGACAGTGTGGCCCCCACCTACGCGAGGCGGAGACCCTTGCTCTCCTGGAGTCAGTATCCCTGTGGCCCCAACACTGGGCTACATCCAATTGAAGGAGAGATTTGCTACATCCAATTGAAAAATGAAGTGGGTGGGCCGGGCACAGTGGCTCACGCCTGTAATCCTGGCACTTTGAGAGGCCAAAGCGGGCGGATCACTCGAGGTCAGAAGTTTGAGACCAGCCTGGCCAACATGGTGAAACCCCTTTTCTACCAAAAATACAAAAATCAGCTGGGCGTGGTGGTGTGTGCCTGTAATGCCAGCTACTCAGGAGGCTGAGGCAGAAGAAGGAATTGAACCAGGGAGGCAGAGGTTGCAGTGAGCCGAGATCACACCACTGCACTCCAGCCTGGGCGACAGGGTAAGAGCCTGTCTCAAAAAAAGAAAAATGCCGGGCGCGGTGGCTCAAGCCTGTAATCCCAGCACTTTGGGAGGCTGAGGCGGGTGGATCACGAGGTCAGGAGATCGAGACCATCCTAGCTAACATGGTGAAACCCCGTCTCTACTAAAAATACAAAAAACTAGCCGGGCATGGTGGCGGGCGCCTGTAGTCCCAGCTACTCGGAGGCTGAGGCGGGAGAATGGTGTGAACCCGGGAGGCGGAGCTTGCAGTGAGCTGAGATCGGGCCACTGCACTCCAGCCTGGGCGACAGAGTGAGACTCCGTCTCAAAAAAAAAAAAAAAAAGAAAAAGAAAAATGAGGTCGGTGACGACGTTTCATTTCATTCCTGATGCAATTCACGTTTCCTCTGCGAAGGCTTCAGGGCCACATGGACCATGCACAGGACCCTGGGTATTCCCTGCAACCCCCAAACCTCACCATGGCTGACAGAGGGTGAAGGGCTTGCCCTGGAAGGGTTGGAGCTGTGGACAAGCATATTCTGGGACCTGGCATCAGAAACAGCTCTTAGGGGACAGACAGTAAATTCCTGCAGCTCAGCCAAATGCCATGGGGGACATTTGGGGGACATTTGGAAGGTGACATTTAGAAGATGGTTCCAGACCAGGGAGGGCCTCTGGGAGGCCACAGCTTTTCCAGGGATGAGCAGCAGGCAAGGAAGCCACGTGTGCCAGGGGAGGTGCTCCTGAGAGGCCAGCAGCAGGGGCAAAGGCCCAGGGCAGCAGCGGTCAGCTCGGGGTCCAAGGACAGCTAGGACATCTGTATGGCCACCGCTAAGGGAACCAGACAGAGGATGGCCACACGTGGGGACCCTGAATTTTGTTCTGATGTTAAGCCTGTCGGGGGGGTGAGCAGAGACAGGCGCTCCCTCCCTTGCTTGGGATCCAACCTTCCGCTGGAAGGGGCCCTGCGGGCTGCCGAGGGGCAGGGAGGAGGCAGAGGCAGACAGAGGCGGACACAGAGGCATGGCACTGCTGGCCTTGAGTGGTGGGTGCCCTGGAACTCTGGGAGCCATCCTGCTGGGGACACGATGAAGCCAGAGCAGGCCAATGAGTTGAAGGACAGGAGGCAGGAGAGCAGGGAGGGCGAGGTGGGCTCGGATGTGGTGGGTCCTGGACAGCTCGCCACTGTTTCTGAGACTTTGGAGGGCAGAGTGGAGCCTGGCATCCAGTCCTGATGATGCCTGCTGTGCCTGGGGCTGGCCAAGGTCTTCCCCACTGTCCTGGGCCCCCAAGCTGGGGCTGGCCTTTCTGCCAGTCTGAGCTGGGTTTCCAGGCTAAGTTGGTGGCTGCCTCTCCAGGTCTCCCGAGACTTCACCAGGTGGTCTCTGCAGAAGCTTCTGGAACTTGCTGCAGCCATGACTGGCCCAGAAATAAGAGGAGTGCCCTTCTCTGCCCTTCACCCACCCTTGAATACTGGCCCAGCACCAGTCTGAGAGGGTCCTGGGCAGCGCCAGGCTTGCAGGACCCCAGATTAGCCCAGAAGTGGTCCCGGTGGGGGTGCTGGGGTGTGGGGGTCCCCTGGGCTGGCCACCAGAGGGTTTCCTCCAGACCGCTGTGTGCCTGGGCTAGGGGAGGGCCTGGGCTGGGAACAAGGAGGCTCTGTGCTCCGGGCCTGGGCAGGAGCCAGTTTGGGGCCCTCCTTGGGCCTTTGAAGTCCCAGGCGCACCCACCCTGAGGCCTGGGTAGGGCAGATGCCTGGTGAAGCCCCACAGAGGTTTCTTGCAGAGGAAATTTCATGTCCCTGAGAGGGGCAGGTGGGAGAGGGATGTGGGAGAGGTGGGAAGAGGGGACAACGAGGGTAGGCTGTGGTGGTGGAGGGGCATGGCAGAGGGGCAGGGCATGGAGGGAGCAGGGCTGTAGATGGGGAAAGGGGCACGGAGGAGGACAGGGCTGTAGTTGAGGGGCAGGGGTGTGGAGGAGGGGAGGTCATGGAGGGCAAGATGTGGAGGAGGGCCGGGCCATGGAGGGAGCAGGGTGTGGAGGGGGCAGGACTCTGGCAGGGGTGAAGGGGCATAGAGGAGGGCAGGGCTGTGGTTAGGGGAGTGGGTGTGGAGGACGAGCACAGCACGGAGGGAGCAGGGCTGTGGTGCGGGGGAGGGGCATGGGGAAGGACAGAGCACGGAGGGCAGGGGCATGGAGGGTGGGATGCAGTGGGTGGGCTGTGGAGGCCACCAGGGCCACTCCTGTTGGGGCTGCTGTAAGGGAAACCCGTGAACTGCGTGGCTGGTAAACATAAGAGTTTATTTCTTACCACGCCGAGGCCAGAGGCCAGAGATCAGGTGCCAAACTGGTCGGGGCCTGGGGAGGGCTGTCCTCTGAGTTGTGGATTTCTGACTTCTCATTCTGTCCTTAAAGCAGTAGAAAGAGGGGGAGAGAGCCCTCGGCCTCTTCTTACAAGGGCCTGGGACCCATTCATGACAGCTGCACCTTTGTGACCACATCACTGCCCAAAGCCCCACCTCCTGATACCGTCATATTGGGGCTGGATTTCAACAGAAGAATTCGGGAGCTGGGCGTGCTGGCTCCCACCTCTGATCCCAGAGCTCCGGGAGGCTGAGGTGGGAGGATTGCTGCAGCCCAGGAGTTTGAGGCTGCAATGAGCCATGATCGCGCCACTGTACTCCAGCCTGGACAGCAGAGGGAGACCCTGTCTAAAGAGTTTTGGGGCAGCACAAACATTGAGTCCGTGACACTCCCCGTGGACAGGCCTCCCTTCTTTCCTCAGCTCGGGTCTTCCAGGCCAATGCAGGTCCCAGCCCATCAGTCTCAGTGGACCCAGTCTTGGGGGCCCGCAGGGCTCTGCACCTGCTTCCCTGATGCCTTTACCGCCAACCACTCTGCTCAGGTCTCTGGACCTGTGGGTTTTCCAGGATCCTTAGACCAAAGCCCACCAGCCTGAGCCCAGCACCTGCACAGGCGCTGTGGGGTCCAGGACGTGGGTGCTGGGGTGCGTGGCCTCTGTGACAATCCGGAACACAGCACTCAGAGCCTGCACCATTTCTTACATGCCTGGGTGGCGGCCCCTTCGACGGATAGAACGGATAGAACTCATCCTCAGACTCTGACCGGGCCCCTGGGGTGCTGGAACAAAGATGGGGAATCGAAAACAGGGATCTGGGAAGCAGCCCAGGCCGAGGCTCCTAGCAGGGAGGGTGAGAAGTACCCAGGTACCAGGGCTAGCTGGACGTGTTGGCTCTGCTTGGCCTCCCCTCCCAACCCCTGGACCCCAGTGAACCTGGGTACCGGACTAGCTGGATATGACCCTGCCTGGCCTCCACTCCAACCCCTGGACCCAGGTGGACTGGGGTACCGGGGCAAACTGGGCATGCTGACCCTGCCTGGCCTTTCTGGTCTCATTGTGACTCAGGCCTGGGGGTTCCCAAGGCTCCCGGCTTAGAGTCGGACATGACTGTGAGGCCCTTGCCCTTTCCCACTCAGCAGGGATGAGTTCAGGGATGGCCAGGCCCCAGTGATGTCACCAAGCTGAGCTTCTGAGCTTCTGGTGCCTGTGTGGGAGATGCGGCCCTCAGGAAGAAGTGTCCTCCCCTCCTTAAGGGACCAGAGAAGGAGGATGGGGAGGAGGCCTGGGCCGAGGTCATCTGATGCCAGCCTGCGGCCTGGAGCAGCCTGGGGCCAGCATGCGTTCCAAGGGGAATTCCTGGGGAATGATGCAGCCAGCCTCGCTATCACAGGCTGTCATTTGAGGGAGAGCCGCACTCGGAACGCCTCCCAGCCCCAGTGCAGGAATCCATCTGGCAAGTCTGCCCTCGGACACTCAGAGGACACTGTTCCAGAATCCCTGGACCTTGGGGTGGGGCCAGGGTCTCAGGAGAGGAAGTGCCCAGATTCCTGGACGCTGGTCCTGAGGAGGGTCTGGTGGCAGCCACCTCGGTCAGGACGAGGACAGAGTGTCCAGCCCTGTGCCAGCCCAGTGGCCTCAGGATACCACAGCCACGTCCCTCTTGTCTAAGGCCCAGCAGTCCCTGGGACACTCCAAGAGCCACCCACTTTCTAGGTTTGGGCTTCCCCTCCTCAGTGACCCCAGCTCCACCCCAGAGAGCAAACCCTGAAGCGGCTCCTCTGGGGGCCTTTAAGGGGAAAATAGGACTTGTGCTGTGCTTGGGGTGGACTGAAATCCTGCTCCTCACACTAAAGCATACTGCAACATAAAGCCGGGTGTTTGCAAACGAAATGCCAACAGTCACACAGAGCCAGCAAACTACCCTTCACCACACTCGCTGAATGAGGCTGTTCTGCTGAAACTCAGAGTCACCGGGCACTGAGTCTGCACGCTCACGCCCTCAGCTGCTACGGAATGATGACTCGGTTTCCCCGCCGCTCTTTGGATTCAAGCTGCTGCAAAGCCCTCCCCAGCCTGGGTGTCGAGAAGTTGCCTGGCCCAGTCGCGTGGCACGCGCAGGCAGTGGAGCCCGCAGACAGCGTGGGCACCGTTTACGGATGAACAACGAGCTCCTCCTCACCTCCATCCCTATGCGAGGCACTTCCCCACTCTCCTGACACCACATGGGCTGTTTCTGACTTCCAGCTACTAGGAGCAAGGCTGCCATGACCTCCTGTGTGTGTACATCGTGCTGCCTTCACATGTGCCTCGATTTCCGCAGGTTGCGTATGTCCAGGGCGAAGCCGCTGAGTCAGGGAATCCACATCTTCAGGTTGACCAGGCGTTGTTCAGCCAGTTCCCAAAGTGACTCTACTGACTTCCACTCGGGGTATGAAAAGCCCTATTTCTCTCCAGCCTTATCAACACAGTACTGCCAGCACTTAGCCCCTGCCAACCAGGAGACAGTGCGGAGGAGACCCACTGCAGTCCTGATGTGCGTCTCCCTGGTTACCATGAGGCTGCTCCCTACGCACACATCTTATAACCGTTTGGGTCTCCTCTCTGCCAACCACCCGTCCCAGTGCCCTGGCTGCTTTTCTATGCAGCTGCCTGTGTTTTTGTCATTGATTTGCCAGTACTCTTTACGTTTTTTAGATTCCAAGCCCTGTCAGTTACATATGTTAGAATATTGCTTTTTATTCTGTGACTTGTCTTTTTCAAGGTCTTGGGACTTTTCCTTCCCTAAAACATGTAAGGACCACTTACCAGACTTGCTGGCCCGTACCTGAGTGTGGAGGGAACAGGGCGTTGGTAGCAGCCCGGCCTTTGGGACTCCACCACACGGAACAGAGCATGCCTCTGATGCAGCTGGAGGGCTGCTGGGGACGCCACTGAGGGGTCACATCTTGGGGCTGGTGCAGCAGGAGGGCTGCCGGGGATGTCACTGGGGGTCCACATCTCGGAGTAGGAGTGCAGCAGGCGGACAGGCTGGAGAGGTTTCGCGAGAGAGCGGTGCCCACAGAGGCATCTCAGGGCCGTCCTGGCCTGTGCGCAGCAACACGACGCCCCAACCCTCCTGAGAAAGGGCTGTGCCAGCAGCTCCCACTGGCCTCCGTGTCCAGGAGTGTGAAGAGATGATTTTTCCGCCCCCTTTGAGAGCCTCCGTCTTTACCACACGGGCAGAGGGCCCCCGGGAGGAAGGTGTGTATGTCCGGGGCTCCAGAGTGCAAGGTCGGTTTAGGAAGTGCTGACTGCAGCCAGGTCCTCACCAGCCCTCCCTCGTGGGAGCTAACTTGGCAGTGCCAAGAAAGGCCCAGGAAAGTCAGGGCTGGGAACCACAGGCAGCGGCAGCCCAGGAGCCCCGTGTCAGCCTCAGCCTGGGGAGGGAGGGGAAGGCGCCCCACCTGGGACCCCCATGAGCCTCACTCTCCAAGGTGTGCAGTGAGCGGCCCGCCTGAGTGATCAGCCTGCTCAGAGAGCTTCAGGTCAAAACGCTGCCTGCCCTGCAGCCCAGCCGCCTCTTCCAGTCCCATCCTCGGACACCCATGAAGACACGAACAGACACTTCCTATCAGGAGACAAAGGAGGCAGATGGGAGCCGGAGCCTGGGAGGACCTAAACTAATTACAGGGCGACAGAGCCGGACGAAGCACCTCAGCACGCCTGGGAGCCAGAAGCTCTGGGAAAACCACTTCACAGAAGCCCACCAGCCCCCTCTGCCCTGGCCTGGCTGGCACACCTGGCCAGCCACAGGGCACCCTCCCCACACCTCCTCCCTGTCAACTGCTGCTTCCGGGCATTCTGGGTGCTGGATGGTGAGTGGGCACCGGAGGGGCTGTGTGGACGGCAGAGCCCAGGAAGGGCCAGCACGGGCAGTGTCCTCTCCAGGGGCCACCCAGAACCCCTACATGACAGGGGAGAGCCAGGAGCACAGTCTCTGGGGGCAGAGCTGCAGGCTTGGGCAGGAAGCTGGGACCATCGATCTCTTTCCCACCTGGGTCAGCAGCATCAGGATTCAACATCCACAGAACTGGAGAAAAAACACGTCCCAGGGCAAGCCGTTCACCCAGGGGGCAGCGGGGCAGGACCTCACCTGGTTTGAGGGTGAGAAGGGGGTCAAAAGATGAGCACAGTGCTTCGAAAAACACCAGAAAATGCATAAACTCCCCCCAATGACTTTGCACCAACAATTACATAAGGGAACTATTTAAAAAGAGGGAATAGAGCCAGGCATGGTGGCTCACGCCTACAGCTCCAGCACTTTGGACAGCCGGGGCGAGAAGAGTGCTAGAGCCCAGGAGTTGAGACCAGCCTGAGCAACATAGTGAGACTCCATCCCCATAAAATATCAAAAAAGTAGCTGGGCATGGTGGTACGTGCCTGTGGTCCCAGCTATTCGGGAAGCTAAGATGGGAGGATGGTTTGAGCCGGGGGTTCGAGGCTGCAGTGAGCTATGTCTGCGTCACTGCGCTCCAGCCTGGGCGGCAGAGTGAGACCCTGTCTCAAAAAGTAGCAGGGGTGGGGAGGCGTGATTAATCTTGGAGAAACAGATTAATAGTGGGGAAAGTCGACATGTGTTTCTTCTCTGGAAGATCAGAAAGGCCAAAACTTAGCAGATGGGAATTAGAAAGTTAGGAAAGTATGCTGCCACGTGATGTAGGCCCCTTCCATCCGACCGTTCCCGATCCAGAAGGCAAACGCGAATTAGAAGTTAGAAAAGTATGCCCACATTGATGAGCCCCATCCAGTGCGTTTCCCCGAGAGAGTCAACCTTCTGCAAGGCCCAGAGGCGAAGAAAGTATGCCACGTGATGTGAGCCCCTTCCATCCATTCGTTCCCCGAGGAGAGTCCAGCCCTGGCTCTCAAGACCCCAGGAGGCTGAGAAGCAGAGCTCCCGCTGCAAGGGCAGAGAGAGGGACCCTCTTGGGGAGTGCAGGCCCAAACAGCCAGCCCTGGGGAGGGGTCAGGCTTCAAGTGGGCCTAGGAGATAGGAGAAGCCATGGCCCCCATTCCCATCCCTGTCCCCTTGAGAAGCTCAGGGAGGTAGGGCATTCACAGGCAGATGTCCCAGCCTCTCCTGGGGAACACGGAGATTCCCAGCCGAGCCGCCCAGCACCCGGCCTGTGTCCACACCTGCCACATGGATGGAAAGCACCACAGGTGTTCTGGGCAACAAGGGAACTTCAGGGCTTCAAGTGAGCAGACAGGCTGGAGATGGCACCTAGGGGTGGTTGACAGGCATAGGGGTGGCTGACAGGCATGTTTCCACACCCAGAAACTACGTTTGATTCAGTTAAAGCACAGTAGACTCCCTGCACCTGAGTTTGTCCAGTTAAACCCGTTCAGGCACACAAAGATAGAGATGATTTTATTATATTTCTAATTTTATCCTCAATAAAATTTAAAATATGCATACAATCCTATAAAACTTCATGATGTCATATATGTAGTTCAACTGTATAATATACTTTGTGCTTGGCAAGCAGTGGATACACCTTTTCCAACATCCATGTGCTTTTAAAAAATTAAGCATTGTGGCTCACGCCTGTAATCCCACCACTCTGGGAAGCCGAGGCAGGAGGATGGCTTAAGCTCTGGAGTTTGAGGCTACAGCGAGCCATGATAGCGCCACTGCACTCCAGCCTGGTTGACAGAGCAAGACCCCATCTCTGAAAAAGAAATTAACCCTCTAGTCGTTCACACCAAACATCTCAATAAATTCAAAAAAATCACTTTATATAAATGAAATCATATTGAAAAAGTTATTTTGTTTCTTCCTTGTTTTCTAATCGTTATAATTTTAATACAAAAGTTAGGATGTGGGTCCCTCTAGGATTAAGAAAGAGTGAGGTGCACCTGTGTGCTGTTGAAACTGTGAGTCAGGACCCGGTGGTGGCCACATAGGAGTCCACTGTATGATTTTCTGTTAAGCTGCACATTTTTTATCAAGGCACTTTTATCTTGTATATTTTATCTCTAAAGTTTTTAAAACATGCTTCAAACTATTCCCCCCAAAAGTAGAAGTTGTAAAAATTACATTTTGGGTGACAATGTTAAAATTTTTTAAAGAAGAAAGGTCATCGCTTCGGTGTTTATTTAAACGGAAATTAGATAATTTCTAGATCATTTGGCTCCTCTATTTCTTTATTACTCCAATTCTAATTTCTTAGAAAACGCTCCTGGCTCCACCCCCGAACGTTTCCACAGTTGGAACACGCCTGTCGTCCACAGCCCGAATCACCACCACCTTCTCTCACGTGGCCCCCAAGCTCCACCCACAACACAGAAGCCAAGGTGGCCTTGGTAAACCTGAGGTCACATCATGTCATCTTTTATTCGGGCTCCACAGCAGATGCCAATCCCTCTTAGAGTAGAAGTTAAAGCACTGACCCGCAAGGTTCCACATGATCTGACCTCAGGGTTCACACCCTTTCCCTGTTCCTCACACTCCAGGCGCATGGCCTGGCATGCTCCCTCCTCATAACCCTCCTGCAAGTGGTCCCTCTGCTGACACACACTCCTGTTTAAGCCCGCGTGGTGACCAAAACTGACGCTGTGCTGGGCCGAGGAGCTGGTTCCAACACATTTCAAAGGACTGCAGTAATCCAGAAAATGTTCTCAGACTACAGTAGAATTAAGCTGGAAATGGATGCTGATAAAAGCAACTAGAAAATCTCCCAAATGTTTAGAAATTAAGCAATGTACCTCTGCATGACCCATGGGTCAAAGATGAACCATAAATGGAAATTAGAAAATCTTTAAACTGAATGATCATAAAAATAGAACCTATCAAACTTGTAGAATCCAGTTAAAACTGTGCTCAGAGTGAAATGTTTGCTTAGAAAGAAAAAAGTTGCAACAATAGTCTAAGTATAGCCTTGTAAGGACATTAGAAAAAAAGGAGCAAATTAAACCCAAAGAAAATAGAAAGAGGGAACTAATAGGGATGAAAGCAGAACATAATTAATAAAACAAATGTCAATAGAAAGGTGGGGTTTTGTACAGATTAATAATATTGACTGCCCAAGACTAATAAAAAAATAGCACAAAATAGGCTGGGCAACGTGGCTCATGCCAGCACTTTGGGAGGCTGAGGTGGGTGGATCACTTGAGGTCAGGAGTTCAAGACCAGCCTGGACAACATGGTGAAACCTCATCTCTACTAAAAGTACAAAAATTAACCACGTGTGGTGGCAGGCACCTGTAATCCCAGCTACTTGGGAGGTTGAGGCAGGAGAATCACTTGAACCTGGGAAGCAAAGGTTGCAGTGAGCTGAGATCATGCCACTGCACTCCAGCCTGGGTGACAAGAGCAAAACTCCATCTCAAACACACACACACACACACACACGCACGCACACACAAAATAATATGGCACATGTTGGCAATAGTAGAGATTAAGAAGGGATTACCACTGAAGATCCCATAGACATTACAAATATTATGAAATATGACAAACAACTTTCTGCCAAACAATTCAGTAAGTCCAATGAAATGGACACATTCTTAGAAAAACAAATATAACAAAAGAGACACAAGAATAGAGTATGTAAGTAGTCCTATGCATAATAAATAAATTAATTGAATCATTAATTTAAAACCTTTCCACAAAAAAATCTCTAGGCCCAGAACACTTAAGATAAATATTTTCAAATATTTAAAGATGGACTAACACAAATCTTATAAAATTCTTCCAGAAAACAGGAAAAAAAGAAATATCCCCTGTTATGGTTTGGCTTTGTGTCCTCACCCAAATCTCATCATAAATTGTAATCCCCAGGTGTTGAGGGAGGAAGCTGGCAGGAGGCAATTGGGTTATGGGGGCAGTTTCTCCCCATGCTGTTCGCATGCTAGTGAGGGCGTTCTCATGAGAGCTGGTAGTTTTGTGAGAGGCTCTTCCCCTTTAGCTCCCTTCACATGCTCCCTCTCGCCTGCCGCCATGTAAGATGTGCCTCTTCCCCTTCCACCATGATTGTCAGTTTCCAGAGGCCTCCCCAGCCATGTGGAACTGTGAGTCAATCAAACCTCTTTCCTTTATAAATTACCCAGTCTCAGGTATTTCATTATAGCAGTGTGAAAACGGACTAATACACTCCCCAATTCATTTTCTGAGATCATTATTAATTTATCCCAAAACATGAGAAAACTAAAAAAAAATGAATATCATAGGTTAATCTCTCTTGTGAACATAGGCACAAAACTCTCATCAAAATATTAGAAAACTAAATCCAGAAACATATAAAGTAGATAAAACATCACAACCAAATTGGGTTCATTACAAAAATAAAGAGCTAGTTTAATATTTGAAAATCAACAAATGTAATGCACTACATTAAAGGAATAAAAAAGAAAAATCATGTAATAATCTCAGTAAATTCAGGAAAAGCATTGATAACATTCAACAGTCTTCAGGATGAAAAGTCTGAGAAAATAACTTTTTTTATTATTATTATTTTTTGTGAGATGGAGTCTCGCTCTGTCACCCAGGCTGGAGTAAAAGACTGAGAAAATAACTTTCTTAATATGATACAGAGAGTATCATTTAAAAGCCTACGGCCAACACACTTCCTGGTAAAATGTCAAAAGTTTTCCTCTGATGTTAGGAATGACACAAGAGTCTTTGCTATTTTCATTTCTGTTAAATGTGGTGGTGGAGGCCCAGGCCAGGATGAGAAGGTAGGAAAGGAAAGCAAAAGTATGGGACTGGAAATAAAGAAATGAAATTGTAATTAGTTACAGGTAACATAACTGTGCATGTAGAAAATCCAAAAGAATCTACAGCTAAATTATTACAATTAACATGAGAATTTAGCAAGACACTAGACATGTGGTTAGCATGAAACATTATATCCCAATGTACCAGTAACACAAATAGAAAACAGAATTGTTAAATGCTACTTATTTTTCTGAAGACTAATGGAAAGGTGGAAACTTTGGACTTTGTTAAAATTAAGAATGCCTGTTTATCAAGGGACATTGTTAAGAGAATTAAAACTAAGCCAGAAACTGTGAATAGATATTCACAATGCCTGTGTGATGGTTGGATTTACATGTCAACTGGACTAAGCTGTGGGGTGCTCAGATTAAATACTGTTCCTGGGTGTGTCTGTGAGGGTGTTTCTGGATGAGATCAGCGTTTGAATCGGCAGACTCGGTAAAGTAGGAGGCCCTCCCCAGTGTGGGAGGCATCACCCCACCCACTGAAGACCTGAATCCAACAAAAGGCAGAGGAAGGAGGAACCTACCTCTTTTGCTTTTTGCCTTTCTGCTTGAACTGGGACATTGGCCTTTTGCTATCAGGTTGAGATCAATACCATAACTCACCTGGTTCTCAAGCCTTCGGGTCTGAACTAAATGACACCACTGGCTGTCCTAGGTCTCAGCTTTCTGACAGCAGATGGTGGGACTTCTCCGCCTCCCTCATCAATCACGTCAGCCAGTCCCTCCTAATAAATAAATATACATATGTTGGATAAATATATCTTTTTATATATGGATACATTTATCCTCTTGGTTCTCTGGAAAACCCTGACTAATACAGCATGTATCCAATCAAAAGTTTGTGTCCAGAATATATAAAGAACTCCTACAAATCAATGAGAAAACAAAAGACAACTCATTTTTCTTAATGGGCAAAGGATTAGAAAAGGTAAGTAAACACAGAATAAAAGTGCTTGACATTAATCCTCATAGCAATGCAAATCAGAAGCCACAGTGACCACCAGGATGGCAGAAGCTGAAAGGACGGATGGTACCAAGGGCTGTCACCGACTCAGAGCCAGGGAGATGGGTGCGTTCTGGGTAAGAGAGTGCCCGGGTGCAGGAAGTGGGGGACGCCGCCCAGCAGTATCTTCCCAAGTGGAAACTGCACATATCCTGTGAAAGGCCTGCCTATGCTCACCACAAGACATGTGCCTGAACGTGGGGCGGCACTATGCCCAATGCCCACTTATGTTCCCCGCTAGAGGCATCCATGAACGTGGGGCGGGACTATGCCCAACGCCTGCCTGTGTTCACCGAGAGACACGTGCCTGAACGTGGGGCAGCACTATGCCCCACAGCCCCAAACTATGCAAAAGAACAACACTGTTCATGCGTGAGGCGAGAGAGGCCCTTGAGCAGGATAGATAGCAAATGTGTGCTGGGTTTAATACCTGGGTGATGGGCTGATGGGTGCAGCAAACCACCATGGCACACATTTACCTGTGTAACAAACCTGCACATCCTGCACATGGATACTGGAACTTAAAATTAAATTAAATTTTTTAAAAAAGAAGTGTACTCAGACCATCAAAGACAGCCATGGAGAAAGAAAGAATTTCTGCCCACAATGATCTAGATGAATCTCACAAATACAACTTGAGCAAAAGAAACCAGACACTAAAGGGTCCACAGCTTACGATTTCATGTATGTAAAGTTCAAACCCAGGCAAACCTCATGCATGGTCATGAAAGTCAGAACAGCGGTTCCCTCTGAGGGGGCCTACGAGAGGGGGTGCTGCAAACACCGCGTCTCTTTGTCTGGATGGAAGTTTCAGGGTGTGTCCACTTTTTAAAATGCATCAAGCCGTACATTTATGATTTGGGAACCTTTCCGTATGTATATTATTCTTCAATAAAAAGGCCACTGAGGAAAAACTGCCCACAAAAACCGCACGTGCACCCTCTGAAGTCCAACGCCAGCCCAGATGCTGCAGGCTCCGCTGTGTTGCACAGCTAAGGTGGTAAACAGTGGAGCCCAGAAGTACTTTGCTGCCAGCCCAGAGGACACGTCTAGACCACCTTGAAGGATCCCGTCTGCCTGGGAGCTGCATGTATCAGATTCCAATACTTACCCGCATATTCTGACCGGTTCCTTGGAGATGCGAGAATGAAACAACTTGGACGATTTTTAGCACGCCGGTCTTGGCTCTTAAACTCACAGTTCACATCCCCCGTAAAGTGAGATATTGAAAGTCAACTTTGTCCTCCGAAGTTGAAGCCATCTTTTAGCTCCACGCTCTAGTGCTCACAGAGATGAGCCACAGCTCAGGATCAATCCGTTTTATACCCAATGACCCCTGCGTGGTCTTGCCCACCGCCCGCTCTCTGAGAGCACATGCGGAGAAGGACGGAGTTGGGCAGGCTTGAGGGGTACTGAGAAGTCTGCACGTGGCAGGGGGGCGCACCCAAGGCAGCCAGAAAGCATGAGGGCTGGACATCCTCAGCAGGCTCCAGTGCCTCTCCAGCCTCCTACCAAGCCAGGTGCCCTGGGCAGCTGGCCAAGACCTCAGTCCTATGGTTGGCCAGCCTTGGACCCTCCCAGCTGTGTCTTTCAGTCACGGTCCCAGGTTCCTTCTCAAGACAAATTTCCTTCTAATGCAGAAAAGTCAGCCTCCCTGGGGCACGTAGGCTCCCCATCCTAAGCCCAGACCACAGTCCTGCCCCTGCCACTCCCCATCCACACAGAGCATCCTTCCCAGGCTCGCCCCTGTGGGCTCACTGCTGTGGGGTCCTGGGCCATGAGACCACAGGGGTCACAGGGCGTGTGGACAGCGTGGCCTGGACAAGGTCAGACCTGCCTTGCCAGATGGTGTTCTGGGAACAGGCTGGGGCTGCTGGGCCTGGAACATCAGGGTGAGGCTCCTCCCGGCCCCGGCCGCATGTGCTGAACCCACCCATCTTCCTTTTGTTCTTTCTTCTGTCTTTGCTTATTGGTGTCTCCCCAGCTGTGAGTCCCTGAAGACGAGTACCCTCGGTCACCACCGGACCCGGCACCCACCACTGCCCTCGGTCACCGCCGGACCCGGCGCCCACCACTGCCCTTGGTCACCGCTGGACCAGCGCCAGCGCCCACCACTTTTTCCCCACAGCTAACCGTGAGTCCCTGAGGATGGGTGCCCTTGGTCACCACTGGACCAGCGCCCACGACTTCACAGTGCTCACTGAGTGCTTCCAAGTGAACAAATGAAGGGGTGAGTGATGAGCAGCACATGCAGCCCTGCTCACTTCTCAGATCACAGAGGGCTGTCTGGCAAGCGGGGGGCGGGTCTTTCAGACTGCCACTGTGAACAGAGGATGGAAAGAGAGCCCTGCTGGGTGGCCAGCACCTGCGTCTGGCACTCCCTCGGCCTGGCCGTCCCTTGCCGGCTGCCCTGTGCTGTGACCGCAGGTGGGTCTCTGAGTCCTTCCCACTCCCTGTGTTCTGGCCCCTGCATGGAGCCCAGCCCTCCATGGATGCGGGCGCTGGGTCCGGGATGGTGGGGGCCCCTCTCTTCAGGGGCTAGGACTTAGCTTTCAGCTGGCCCAGCAGTCAGACCACTCAGGGACTGCTCCTAATCAAGGTCTCCAGTGCCCCTGGGCAGACGATGCCACACGTATCCAGCTCCAACCCTGGCTCCTCCAGAGAAGCACAGGCTTCTGCACCACCTGCAGCCCACAGCCTGGTGCCACCTTCCCCTGTGCCAGCCAGTACCCCAGCATGGATGGGGTGGGGCAGAGAGTCTTCTGGGGGGAACATCAAAATACCCTAGTATGTTAGTGACTCGGCCAGTCAGCAGCGTTCTGGTAATTGCTTAACAAGGGACTCTCAGAAGGGGCAGGGCTGGTCTGCAGCATCCGCACGCACTCCCACAGTGGCTGGTTGCAAACCTTTGGTGTTTGGGCTTAGAACGTGGAGCGACAGCGATGCATAGTCGCTGCTCTGAAGCCTGAGCTGCCTCCAGCAACCATGGGGACCACGTGCTGGTTGCATGGGGACCAGCAACCATGGGGACCAGCAACCATGGGGACCACACACCTGGGTGGTGTGTGGTCGACCCGGATTTTTTGCAGGGCATCCCAGCACTGGCCGTGACCGGCGCCTGGCCCCACGGTGGGGTGCTGCTGGTGTAATCTGCCCAGCAGGTGGCTGCTGAGACCCGGAGTCACGCCTTCCACACTCGGGTTTCCACAGTTGTCTCTATGTCAAATCCTGTCAGCTGCACAGTCCTACAAGTCCTCTCTGCTCCGTCCTGAGGCCCCCAAATGTGATTCCCCAAATGCCACAAGCTTGAACCCACAAAGCACGTCCTGCTTTAGAAGTCACGGACCTGGAGCTGGACTGGCTGGACTGGGCAGGGCTGGGCTGGGCTGAACTAGGCTGGGCTGGACTGAGCTGGGCTGGGCTGAACTGGGTTAGGCTGAGCTGGGCTGGAATAGGCTGGGCTGAGCTATACTGGACTGGACTAAACTAGACTGAACTGAGCTGGGCTGGGCTGAGGTGGGCTGGGCTAAGCTGGGCTGGGCCGAACTGGGTTGGGCCGAACTGGGCTGGGCCGGGCTGAGCTGAGTTGAGCTGAGCTGAGTTGGGCTGAGCTGAGCTGGACTGAGCTGAGCTGGACTGGGCTATGCTGGGCTGGTCTGGGCTGGGCTAAGCAGGGCTGGGCTGAACTGGGCTGAGCTAGGCTGGGTTGAGCTGGGCTGAGCGGGGCTGGGTTGAGCTGGTCTGGGCTGAACTAGGCTGAACTGGGCTGAGATTGGCTGGGCTGAGCTGGGCTGAACTGGGCTGAACTAGGCTGAACTAGGCTGGGCTGGGCTGGGCTAGGCTGAGGTGGGCTGGGCTGTGCTTGGCTGAGCTGAACTGAGGTAAACAGGGTTGCACTGGGCTGGGCTGGGCTGAACTAAGCTAGAGTGGACTGACCTAAGCTGGACTGGGCTGGACTGGGGCCTGCCTGGCCATTTTGCCTGAGCTCATAGACCAGAAAAGCTGAGGACAAGACCGGTGAAGACCCTTCGTCAGCGCCCCCTCCCTTGAGCTCTGAGCACTGTTGGGGAACAGAGGAAGCAGTTGGGAGCAAGGGATGAGGAGGAGCCTGGCGGAACCCAGTGTTTCCACCCACACCAGAGGCCCCACAGCAGATGCCTGCCCACTAGGACCTCCTGGGCCCAGAGGTGTGCACAGGGAGCAGGTGGCACCACGTGGCCCCGCCACCTATGTTGGTGACAAGGCCAAGCCAGAGCCAAGGGGAGGGGCGACGTGGACCCTGCCCCGACGAGAGACCTGGCAGAGGAGCTCTGGAAAGCACCGCGGGGGCCTCTGTGAGAACAATCTGCTCCATGATTTCGTCAAGCTGAGTGAGAGAAGCCAGGCACAGAGGCCACATATTACACGTTCCGCTTCTGTGAAATGTACAGAACAGGCAAAGCCGCAGAGGCAGAGGGCGACGGGATCGCCTGGGGCTGGGGTAGTTAATGGGTGTGTGACTGTAGAGTATGGGGTTTCTTTTGGGGGTGATGAAAATGTTCTGGAATGAGATAGTGGTGATGGCCACAGAACTCCACAAACACACTTAGCAGCGATTAAATTGAACACTTAGCAGCTATTGAACTGAATGCTTCAAACGGGTGATTTATATGGCATATGAATTACATCTCAATAAAGCTATTATTAAAAAAACAAAGCAAAACAGAGGCTGGGCACTGGCATGGTGGCTCACACCTGTAATCCCAGCACTTTGGAAGGCCGAGGCAGGTGGATCACCTGAGGTCAGGAGTTTGAGACCAGCCTGGCCAACACGGTGAAACCCCATGTCTACTAAAAAAAAAAAAATTAGCCAGGCATGGTGGCGGGCACTTAATTCCAGCTACTTGGGAGGCTGAGGCAGGAGAGGCGGAGGTTGCAATGAGCTGAGATCGTGCCACTGCACTCCAGTCTGAGTGACAAGAGTGAAACTCCATCTCTGGGGGAAAGAGAGGAAAAAAAAAAAGCTTATGAACCAGACACTGGAGGCGCCATCCTGCCCCAGGCGTAGACTCAGCCTGCAGGCCCTCCTGGGGAGGGGTGGTGTCCTGAGCTGCGTGCAGGCTCCCATGCTCCCCGCCGTCAGCTGTCATGGCTTCCTTCCTTATGAAATGAGCTAGAAAATATACATGTTTGAAAAGAGGCCGGGCGCGGTGGTTCACGCCTGTTATCTCAGCACTTTGGGAGGCCAAGGCAGGTGGATCACCTGAGGTCAGGAGTTCAAGACCAGCCTGGCCAACAGGCAAAACCCTGTCTCTCCTAAAAGTACAAAAATTAGCTAGGTGTGGTGGCAGGTGCCTGTAATCCCAGCTACTCGGGAGCCTGAGGCAGGAGAATCGCTTGAACCCGGGAGGTGGAGGTTGCAGTGAGCCGAGATCATGCCACTGTACTTCAGCCTGTGTGACAGAGTGAGACTTTGTCTCAACAAAAGGAAGGAGGGAGGGAGGGAAGGAAGGAAGGAAGGAAGGAAGGAAGGAAGGAAGGAAGGAAGGAAGGAAGGAAGGAAGGAAGGAAGGAAGG